TAAGCACTACCCGCTGGAGTGCCCGACCCGGAGGCGCGGCGGCAAGAGGCGGGACTCGACCTCCAGCGGAGGCGGCCACCGGGTGAGACCGGGAACCTCTGAGAGGCTTTCGCCGGGAGGCGGTGATGCATGCCTGTCTCCTGGTGTCCCCTACGCAGCCTGCTGCGCCTGCGCGGCAGCAAGACAGCACGGCGCGGAAACGGTTGCTACGGCAACCAGCAGAGGGCGGCCTCGCTTAACTGTCAGGAATTCGGAATTTTCGCTGGGGGAAGGGAAAGTCTCGCGCACGCGCACTGAGGATTCTGGGGGCCGTCTCCCTCCCCGAGCCCGGATAAGCCTCGCCTAAGACCGACTTCTACGCAGGCGCAAGAGCCCGTCTCGCGCCCCAACGCGTCCACTCTGCGCAGACGCACGAAGCCGCGCTGCCAACCTCCGCAGCAGCCGCGCGCACCCGTCACCTCGCCGGCTGCTTTTGTCTCGCGCCACCTTCTTAAGCCTTCCACGAGCTCGGCCTTTCTTTTCCTCCACTCGCCCACCTGGAGCGCCAGGTGGGGATCCGGGACGCCGCCCGGTCCCCGGATCCCTTCCCTTGACCCACCTCGTCTCCGTCCTCCCTCCCTTTTCGGTTCCCGACGACGGAAGGAGCCGAAGCACCGACGGAAAAAGCCGAAGCCGTCCTTTTCCCGAAGTGGTGGCGGAAAGAGCCGAAGTTCTGCGAGAGTGGAGGAGTGAGGTAGTGGAATCTCCGGAAAGAGCCGAAGCTTGGAATCGAGCTTAATCCCTTGCGCGGCCCGAGGGCGAACACCGGAAACCTTCGGGGAGTGCCGAGTCCCAGGACGGTTAAGCCTGTCGGAATTAGCGGACTGTTCGGACCGGGCCGGCGGAATAGGGCTAGGAGCCCCTGCGGAAGCGGCCAAAGACGGACGGTTTGAATTGTCGAAAGAATCTGAACCCTTGGCAGAGGTGGGGAGGTACTGGGCGCAGAGGAAGGCGAGGACCCACGGAAGCACCCGAACGTGGAAGAGCTAATTTCCGAAAAGTTACGACACCTGAGAACCCAGCAAAGCCCTCGCTTCGGGCGTTTTCGGAATAAGCCGAAGCCGCTGCGGCCGATTCCTTCCT